TAAACACCATTCAGGGTGATCTATTTATAGATACCCCATTAAATAATATAGATACATTATAGAGAAAACAGCGTTTATATATATATATGCGCTTTTACATTTCTCCCACCAATATCAATACACTCTCCTTTGTAAGTTACGTTTTCAAAATATTCAATCCTACACCTTTGATTAGCATGTTTGGCTATGTACGGTTCGAAATAAGTTCAACATACATGCAGACATAAATCAGTGGGGGGGGGGGGGGGTCTATGAACGATTCACTATAACACACACAGCATCCCTTTACAGGAATGACTAAAAAACAATAAATTACATTTAAACATAAAAAATATGGTTCGGGTTTCCATCTTGCTAAGAACATGGTGTAAAGAGGGGATATTTTGAAATCCTCAATGTGATCCCTTTGAAATCACCAACATCAACTATAACAATAATGATATGGCAAACAAAAACGTATACAAATTACCTATCGAGTAAGTGAGCATTCGGAATCATTGCAGCTGTGGCCAGATATTCCATTAAAATTAGTTTTGAAAAAAATAGGCTAATATAGTCTTCTAGACAGGCAGTCTGTCGTAATATATGGATTATTTACAATGAGGCAGGAAAATACAGAGAGCGTAGATTGTAGGTTTCATTTTCAAACAGGGACCACCAATCTGAGAGCAATTGTCTCTCTTAGCTTCTTGGCAGTTCAATCTAAAAAACACACAGTGTCTTTCCTCCAAATGTATATTTTTGGAGGTCAAGGTTAAAACTGACAGTGTTGATTAAATCGTTTTTTTCATGCCTCAATGTATAGCATTGCTGACGTTTTTTTGTTTCATCCTTTACATTTTATTTTCACCGGCAGAGTTGCTCTCAAGGTGCCACTGATGAATATTGCAGAGAAACCTAAGTTGTAAAACAAGCAGAGCCACAATTGCAAGGGTGGTTCAATATATTGTGGGAGGTGGCCCTGATTTGTGTTAGCCACTGGACGTATTTTATTGTTTCGTTCTTGCAGGTGGTCGTTTCGTCTTGGACGTACGTTTTATTTAACGTCTTTGGCTACAAGACTACAAACACTAGCAAACAGGAAGTTTGGCTCGTCAGGCATATAAAGTAGAATTAGAGCCTTAATATCGGTGGTTCCGTTTAACCGTTGTATAATGTTTATGCACATATACTTCGCAGATGACGATGTGCAGAACCAAAGACAACTGTATAAGAATAATAAATGCAGGCGATGTAAATGCCAGATACATACTTTTCTTCCAGGCCATATTTATGAAATGGCACAATAAAAAAAATGTGTATTTTAGGATTGTATGACTACCTTTAATTGATGGGCAGTTCACCTGTTGGTCTGAGAGTGCTTAAATACATTTCAATTTTTTGGAAATTAAGAGGTTTAGCTGCAGGTGGTAAAAGAACATCCAAAAGGGGTAGATAGGAGTTAAAAAAATAAAATAACAAATGCGAGACTGCTCTCTGCGATTTGTATGCAGAGGCATGTGCTTAATTTTCGGAATAAATCCAAGTAGCAATAGTACAGTCAGCAATGCAACAGCTACACAAGTGCCAATGAAAGCAAACAAACAGGGCCATAAGTTAGATTAAAAAGGGGTAACAAAGGCACATATTTTGTTTAAAGATAGCTATAAATTGTCAGCTCTTGTAAATGCCCAGCTAATGTATTGCACTTTGTTAAAAATGATGGGTGATAATTCCTGTGCAAATTGTTTGGAAAATAACAATAGCACCACCTAGCCAGTGAGTTGGAGCACGTACACCAAGCCCTTAGGATGAACGGATACTCGGACCATACAATCCGCAAAGCTATCTCACCAGCCATGGGGAGAAAACCTTCTGAGAATCCAACCAAAACCATCACTTTACCATACATAGCAGGGGTTACCAAAAAGATTCCCAAAATCTTAAAAAACACACAAGATCCAGGTTCGTTTCAACACAGTATACAAAATCCGTGATTTAATCCCATCTGTAAAAGATGTGATTCCTGACATGCAATACCCTGGTGTCTACAAGCTGAGTTGTGGTTGTGGCAGCAGTTACATTGGGGAAACGAAACGACATATCTCGGACTGCGTTCGTGACACAAGGCAGATCTGAAACACGGTAGGACCAATACCTCTGCCGTTGCGGATCATTGTTTTAATGCTGTGGGCTCACACAAAATTTATTTTTCCAAGACGGAGGTACTCTGCAAACCTACTGGCTACCTTCAGAGATTTGTTCATGAAGTCATCCAGATATATAAACACAGACACAACTTCAACCGAGAAGATGGGTACAAACTGAGCAATCATTGTAAGGACGTTATTAACCAGGTAAAGTCTTAACTGACTGTGATGTTTCCATCCTACCTGCCTATGTCAGCTGTTATTTCTGACTCTCTGTGTCTCTCTCTATGCCTCTCTCTTAGAACTCTCATGCTCACATGTCCTTTGGAATGCACTCTCATGCCTTTGGATTGCACCACTCTTCGATCTTACATTAACATGCTAATCTCTCACATTAACATAGCCACTTCCGTGCCCTCGTTGAGGAGGCCGCTCTCCGTTCTTACAGTTACATGCTAATTTCTCACATTAACATCACTAGCCCCGCCCACTTCTTTATGACCCTTGGGCTACACCCATTTCAAACCTTTTAAAACAGTCTGCCTCAGCAACAGGCCATGCTTTCCCACCTGATGACGGACGCTTGTGTTGCGCCCGAAACGTCGTGATTTATTTTATTTTATACTTATGTGACTTTACCGACACAACCAAAGAGTATGGATTCCTGCAGTCACGAAAGCTTCAAATCAAGATATAATATAAGTGCTAAAGAAAGAGCATGTGACAATTTCAAAAGTGGATAAGTTCTGTCATAATTTAATACCAGCATACAAACACCTTGAAAAAAAAATGTCCCCCTAAATATGTGAAATAATGCAAAAGGTAATAGCAGTGGTTTCCTTTTCGTACATCTCGACACAGTGGGTGCCACAGTGATGATATGTTAGCCACCTCGCTCGGTATACAGGAGGTCGTGGGTTTGATCCCGACCCTGACACCTGTATATTTGGAGTTTGCATGTTCTCGTATTTGCATGGATTTTTCTCCGGGTCCTTCGGTTTTTCCCTCCAGATTTTCAGAGATGCATTTCGAGTGTTTGGCTGCTTTAAATTCCCACATGATTAGCGCCTTCGTTGAGCTTTCATTTGTGGCCAGGTCGCTTCTGAAAAAGAGCTATATAGCTCAGTGGGCCTTATATCCGCTATTAAGTGGAGGAGGATATAACCGCACTCTACTGCCTCAGTTCATCAGCTTGTCTTACATCTGTGCCCCTAATATTTGTTGCATGCACATTGTGTGTGTCTTGTACTCGCTTTCGTTCAAACGTTATTACATCAATCGATGATGTAGCATACTGTCAGTATGCACAGTCATCTCGACTTACAGCATGAACAATGCAGTCTCATTTGTAGTTCCGTGGCGTAGCTTTTGTTCGAATCATGCTCTTGTGGCAAAACCATATTGCTTCATAGTCAGCCCTCTTCATGTGTGTTTGTTTTTCTGGCAAAGTTCTCGATTTGTGATGATGATATTTTTCTTTAACTTAAGCAAGTATTCTTACATTTATTTGTTATCCCACCACAAAATTCTATTTGATACATCACACCATTATTCACTGCATAAAAAAAATCTATTTCCTATCCCATACAATAGTCCAATGAAAGAAAATGCTGCACGAGGATGCTCAACTCAAAATCAAGTATATAAATAAATGCATACAGCATTCATTTACAGAGCTGTTTTTCTTTCTTCACATCACAAAAGACCATACCTCTATATTTCATCGTGACAGAGTCATGGATGATTTCATTCACAAGCCTTTTCATTTCGCATGATACTCATAATGAAAAACATATGCAGCCTTTCAATGATGGCTTCCTTAATACAATTCTTGAGTAGGTGCTATATTGCTTCATAAATACAGTAATTCTTCCAGAGCATCATCTGTATTTGCTTTTGCATCTGACAGCGTGTAAAGCTTGGCTCATCGAATGACGTTTAGCTTGAATTGCACACATACCATGCCCTAGATTTCTCTCTTTTATATAATATCACTTTCAAGATTTCTTGACTCTGGAGTGGACAGATTTTGGGTTTGAGTCAGGGCAAAGTTAATAGTCTCATTCCAATCACCAATGATTATGTAAAACAACGATTAGGTCATATATATTATTTTTTACTCTGAGAACTAAAAATATGGTTTATGACATACAGGGCATTTTGAAGGTGTGCCATCAGTGTGGACAAAGGACTAATGAAGTGACTTTAGAACAAACGACGTTGAGCCAATGTTGGCCCAACGGTTCTAACCACATGCCAACGTTGGCTAAACGTTGCCTGTTAACTGGGTAGCTGCCTGGCATCCACCATTTTTTAAATGGTGATGGTGGCTATGCATGTGGCCTGCAATCCAGCACTATGCAGGCCAGGTTTTGTGAATCGCACAAATGTTGTGAAATGCCCTTCCATGAGCGTCGAGGTGTCATGCCCTGGCTCACCAGAGGAAGGCAGTGCAGCAACTGAACTAATTGCCACCTGTTTCCATCTGTATGGAGATAGAGTGTTTCCCCCTTGCCACACACGTGGGTCTTCTTCGGGTTCTCCGGTTTCCTCCCACTTGTATAAACACTCATCTTGACAAAGAGTCCTACAATCCAGGTTGACTTTTGTAAATAAATAAGTAAATTATTATCATTTATAAGTGAGAAATCCGCATATAGATGTTAGCAATTAATTAATCGGTGTAATAAATTGCTAATATCAATGATCAGATGCTTTGCTACGTAATAGACATTTCTTGTACGTTTCTGCTTCAGGTATATAAAAACCTGGTAAAGTTGTCTGGCACACAAGAGCACATTTGGTGCCATGTGCATGTACAGTGATGGAATGCTGCTCCATGAGGTGTGCATATTGTGTTTCTCTTGGCAGGGTGCAAAGCAGTCATGGCGTTTCATTTTTGGCTGTTCTCCCAAGCAACCCTACGTTGTATGATGTAAGCGCAGAGATTATCCATGGAGGGAACATCTCTTCAGTGAAATTACAAATCCATCGGAAAAAAGGCACACCACTGGAAAGGTGAGAATGTATTTTCTATGTATGATGTATGTTGAACGTCTTTCCCACCGTACATAGCCAACCGTGCAAATCGGAGGTGTGGGAAAAGATTGGTTGAAAATTGAGAGCGGTTCTCGAGTGGTTGGCCACTTTGTACCGCAATGTGTCGACTTGTTCAATCTAGAGGATGCGTGTTGACTCGCTCAATTTACCGTGCAATGTGATTCACCTCGATGTCCTTGCATTAGTGCCACGCTGTTTGATGATTATTCTGAACGCAACGTTTCCGAACCGTCTTCTTCTTTCGTGTGGCTTTGTGAAAAGCAAACAGTTTTATTTTTCTTAATGATCGTCAAAAATGAATGCAAAGGTCCCTCACCCAGTCCAATGAGATGGTTGACGCAGTGTGGATTTCAACGATACTGCCAGGATGTGCCATAATTGTCTGTGACTCATATTATATTCTATGAGTGGCTGGCCGGGTTGCCCAAAAGCAGTCAGTGAGTGTGTGGAAGGAACAGAGTTAATTCCACTTCGTTGCTGTGCAGAACGGGGCAAATAGGTGAGTGGGTTTTGACGAGAGGGACGGAGATTCTGGCACCTGAGTACTGAGCTACTCCGGTAATTCTGGAAATTGTGCAATTAAACTCACAAACACACGTGTGCCCAGCCACATACAAATACTCTCCCCACACATACAAACAGTTATAAATATGCATAGAGAATAATCCCCCGTATAATCTTTTACCAGATGTTAGCTAGCACTTATTATGGCCATCGCGGCACGTGATAATAATGTAACGGTCCTCCGTAACAGTCCCCACAATATCAGCATTCCCTACCTTTCTCGTGCTGACATTAATCCCTGCAACGAGTTGACCTGGACTAACCCCGAGGTATGAAGAGGAGATTGGTAGCTGGAGATGAGGAGACATGGTCCCAAGATGTGACGATACAATGGTTTGTGGCTGGAAATGAGATGACAGGAATGAGGGGAGGGGGAGGGAATGCGAGAGGGATGAGAGAGGAGACCGTGGGGGTAAGAGAGAACATCGGAGAAGAGACCGGCATATGAAGGAGAGAGCGGTGTATGAAGGAGGGAGCTTCTGTGAAATGGAGGTGGAAACAAGTATAACCCGTAAAAACAAAGTTTTTCACTATAAATCCTTTATATGCGTGGCGGCTAGAGTCCTCTCGTCCTCTGGCTTGAGATGGCTGCCACCTATGGGTTAGATGATTGCATTGCACCATTAAGCAATTGGTAATTAAATATAATATTTTTGTCCTAAAAAGTGTAAAAATTTTGGAAAAAAAATTTCACGAACATTAATTGTCACGCACAACGAGTCTGTGTGGAAAATGTCAGCTCGATTGGATCACGGGAAGTGGGTTAAAAAACGACTGAAAGATTTGCACGGTCGTAAGCAAGCAAGCGAACTTAATTTAAAGGATTTAAAAATGGACTGGAACCTTTACCTGTATCTGCATGTTTGTGGGAAGAGTATCCTCTACAAATACATAAAAATAAAAAAAGACACCCACGCTATGTTATCCCGAGCAACACCTGGCATTCGTCCAGCATTGCAATATCGCTGGGCCATGCACATATACTCTGCATCTTGCACTACGCACAAATGAGTCTACGCCCATTTCTGCCTCGCAGATTTTACGCACATTTTCTGTACTCAGACCCCAGGTGCCGATAATGAAGTGTATCTGCGAGCGCGGTGGCTGGTAAGAATCTGCTTGAAGTTCCAGATAAGAGAGAAGAGGCCAAAGGCCCTGATTAGCATGCCTGGTGCTGGGTATATTCGACAATGAAACGACCAACAAAGAGAGACCGGCGTGGAACATAGCCAGACAGTGCAGATTTAGACTTTAAAACTTTCCTGACTGCAGAAATTCATATTCTATGGTTCTTTCGGTAAAGTCACGTAGATATAAAAAATAATAACAATAAAATAATAAAAATGAAAATAAAGTTAATTAAAAATATCACGACGTTTCGATCGCAACACAAGCGGTCGTCATCAGGACCGCTTGTGTTGCGATCGAAACGTCGTTTAATTTGTATTATTTTATTGTTATTATTTTTCCTATCTACCATCGAATATGAATACCGTGCAGATATACAGATTTTAGTCAGAAACAACCAGTATATAGTTGAATAGTTGATATTGGCTCCTTTGGAATACAGTGTAGCTTTAGATAGTTTTTAATACATACTATATTCTCAAGTTCTCACTATAATCTGTAGATTAGTGCTGGACATTCTATGTTGTGTTGCTATTGCATCGTCATTGTCATCAGCCATGATCGATCCACTGCTGGATGAAGCACTCTCAAAGCCCCGCTGCTTCTAACGATCTTGTGATGTGACGATCTATCGAACACCTGCACACGAAATTATCTCATTGCTCCGCCTCCGCGATGGACACTCTCCCAAAATATCCACCGTGTTGTGTCCTGCCCAAACCCACTTACTTCTCTTGATAGTTTGGATGATGTATGTATCCTGCGTATGCTCTTTAATACAAGTGTTCCTTTCTCTCTCTCTCCTCTCTCTCTCTAAGTGTGATTCCTAGGATGCATATCTCCATGTTTCTTTGCACACTTTTACTTGTTTTCGTCTACATTGTTCGCGATGGTCTTAGTTTATTGTTTAGTCCATTGGAACCTCCTTTGCCAGTAGCAAAATGTGATCATTGGTTTCCAATGGTGTAAACCAGGGGTCGGCAACCTACGGCTCCGGAGCCGCATGCGGCTCTTTACGGGCTGCTTCTTGACGATATGTACGTATGTACAGTATGTACTCAGATGCATTGCGGCTCTTGAAATACTGAATTTTGTACCGAATTGGAAAGAAATGGCTCTTCTTGTTATTTTGGTTGCCGACCCCTGGTGTAAACGCTTACCCCGAGCTCTCATGCTCTGATGGTGCATTGTCTTTGAATTGTGCGCCTTTTGGCGTCATCTGGTCCAACACCATGTGAGACGAGCCTCTAAAAAAGCTGTCTCGGGTATGGACCAATCAATTTCAAGGACAGTGCATACATTGATAATTGGTTTTTTACCCTTTTATCTGGCAACAAAACTGACACCTTTTTTACAAGGAGTCATGTTTGCATAGACCACAATACCTGCAGTCGTAATGCAAACAAAAAACATAACTCTGATAATGTGCACTGTCCTTGAAGTTGATTGGTCCACACCCGAGACAGCTTTCCTTCGAGCCTAGTCTCATATGGGTTGGACCAGATGACGCCAAAAGGCGCACAACTCAAGGACAATGCACCATCAGAGTATGAGAGCTCGGGGCAAGCATCTACACTATGGGGACCTCATTTGCCAGTAAAAAAATATGATAATTGGTTCTTTACCCTTCTATCTGGCAACAAAACTGACACCTTTTTGCAAGGAGTCATGTTTGCATAGACCGCAATACCTGCAGTCATAAATACAAACAAAAGACATAACTCTGATAATGTGCACTGTCCTTGAAGTTGATTGGTCCACACCCGAGACAGCTTTCCTTAGAGCCTAGTCTCACATGGTGTTGGACGAAATGACGCCATGACTACTTGTAAAAAAGGTGTCAGTTTTATTGCCAGATGAAAGGGTAAAAAAACAATTATCATATTTTTCTACTGGCAAATGAGGTTCCAATGGAGTGCATACATTATCAGAGTTGTGTTTTTTATTTGCATTCCGACCGCAGGTATTGTGGTCAAGGCAAACATGAGTCCTTGTAAAAAAAAGGTGTTAGTTTTGTTGCCGGATAAAAGGGTAAAAAACCAATTATCTTATTGTTTAGAGTTTACGCACTGTGCTGCTTCACTACGAATGAACACTTCCTAGCTTCTTTCTCCTCATACTCTACACCAAATTTCGATTTAAAGCTTTCGTGACTGCAGGGATTCATCTTCTTGGTTCTTTCGGTAAAGTCACGTAGAAGGGAAATAATAAAATAATAAAAATAAAACATAATAAAATAATTCTCACGACGTATCGGCCACAACGCAACCAGCCGTCCTCAAGTGAAGAACAGGTCTGTCGGAAAGACAGCGTCACCTGAGGACGGCTGCTTGCGTTGTGGCCGAAACATCGTGAGAATTATTTTATTATGTTTATTTTTATTATTGTATTATTTCCCTTCTACGTGACTTTACCGAAAGAACCAAGAAAACTCTACACCAATTGTTACATTTACATAACCATGAAGGAAATGCCTCTTTGCACTGTATATTCTGCATTACAATTATCCAGATGGTTCTTTCACATTTTGACATTCCTAATGAGTTGGATCATGATAGCAGCCACATGTATTCATTATTAATATTATCGTCATGTGCCACCGTTGGTTATTATTCTTAATGCCCGAGTATGTCATTGTTTTTTAATGGACACACCTGTACCATGGTGAAGCCATTATGTAAGATGTGTGCTTATAAAAACTGAACTACAACTTCTTTCTTAATTCTCGCTAATGATAATCATAATGTTGCAGATAAACACAGCAATTCAAGGGACCTCTGCACACTCTAGAATTTCTAGTAATGCAAGGTAGACGCTAAAACATTCCAGGGCCATATCATATAATAAGCGGCATAACTTGCATTCATTTATAACAGTTTAATTGCAATCTCAATAGTGCTGCACAAAATGTGAAGCACAACAAATCCAATATTTTACCTATATGTATACGTAACAGACTCGCAATGAACACAGAACTACATGCTACCACCGCCTTAGTTCATTCATCAATATGTCATGTAAAATACCATTCCTTACAACAGCTGCATTACCCAGTCAGCAGTACATACCTTTAAGTGCTTTTACCGGTGACTCCTTTAAATGCAAATCAATCCTAAAATGTATATAATTTATGTTATTATTTAGTGAAAAACGTTTTGCCCGTTATTAACGCTTCACGGCACGAGCCAGAATGTGTCAATAGTGGATAAGAGTTGTGACGAGAAGGTAAGTCACCTTCATGATCTTTATTCGAACAGGATGCCCAA